GCACACCCAACACTGTTCTTGATGTGAATCCCTAGGTATGGCCCATCATGGCCACGGGTTACATCTAGGTGTGACAACCTCTTCCCTGGCATTAGAGTTTTGACCTATGCCCATACGCTTGGACCTTGAGTGGTTGGCGGCGGTATGGGTCCTCATCGGACGAGATGGAACCCGCGTCCTCGAGGTCGGGCGAGACGGAGCCCACGACCTTCGGCAAAACGGAAACCGCGTACTTGGGGTCGAGCGAGACGGAGCTCGCACCCAAGGGGTCGGGCAAGACGGAGCCCGCGGCCTCGAGGTTGGGCAAGACGGAGCCCGCAGCCTCGAGGTCGGGCGTGATGGAGCCCGTGGCCTTGGACAAGACGGAACCTACGTCCTTGGGGTCGGGCGAGACGGAGCCCGCACCCAAGGGGTCGGGCGAGACGGAGCCCACAGACTCGAGGTCAGGCGAGACGGAGCCCGCGACCTTGGGGTTAGGCGAGACCTTTTAATATGTCTCGACCCATCCGGGGAAGTCAGTGTGGATGCTAACTTCCTTACTTTGGGTATCCCTAATATCGATACCCGACACGCCCGCCCGGCTGACCCAAGCTCGGTGCCGGTGGTGGTGGTGCTCGTGTGCACCGCTGGTGCTAGATGCTAGTTGTGCTCGCGCGCATCGTCGACTCCCACCGCGACGGCCAGAATTGACCGGCACAGGCACCCCCCTCCCATATATGTTGCAAATATATGTTTCAAGTGTTTTAGATATTTTAGTGGTATGTTGCGGTTATTTCATATGGATGTTGCAAAAAGTAGATCGGAGATATTGCACATGTTGCATATGTTGCAAGTGTTTCAGAGACATGTTGCAAGAGTTTGTTCAAAATGTTTCATCTGCTCCAGATGTATGTTGCAAGCCTTTTGATCTGGATGTTGCATATGTTTCGAACATATGTTGCAACAGTATGTTCCCAATGTTTTATTTGTTCCAGTCTTCCGTTGCAGCAAGTGTTTTCATGTTGCAAGTTGCAAGTGTTCGCTCTAGATGTTGCATATGTTTTCACATATATATTGCAAATGTATGTTCTACATGTTTAATCTGTTTCAGACGTAGGTTGCATTCAAGTGTTTTATGTTGCACGTGTTTCATGTTGTTCGAAGAGTCAAGGGCGTGGCGGAGTGATGGTGGCACGGCACGGGCGCTGGGGAATGGTGCGCGGTGAGCTGGTGGACGGCGGACGTGGCGCGTGGCACACTAGGGGCCGGCGAGCGGGGTGCGTCTGCGGGGTGGGGCGAACGGATAGGGGTGGGGTGCGCGGATGGGGGCGGGTCAAATCAAGGCGAACGGGCTGGATTGCGAGCGAGTCGTACGGACGCGATGACGGCGCAATGCGCATGCGGGCAAGATGAATTAGCGGATGGGTGGCAGGCTGTGCAGGCACGTGGGGAAACGGTCGTCCGACGAAATCCTATCCCGTCGGACGTCCAGACGCCGGCCCGTCCTTATACTTTAACATTCATCTGTGAGAGTGTTGTATGTAGTGAAACTGAAGAACAAGCCGAAGGTTGGAATCCCACGAACTAACATCAGACCGTGGCACATCGAGCATTGAAATAGGTGCCCTGCATAAGACGATGAATCAAGTGGTCCTCGATTTCAATGTGGCCACAACGGCTGGCATTGTGACCAAGCCCGTGGTGACCACCGCATCTTCATTTGCCGGCAACCCGATCATCGGCCCAAGTGGGCACCGCGTTGAAACAATCCACCAGGAGTCTGGGTTTGATACCCACCTCCCGGTCAAGGGTACGCCCGCTTCTCATGACTATAGCAAGCTACTTAAGATGGATCCGGGGGCTCGCATTACTAGACGTTCTAGGTTTGAGAGCTCGCATCAGTCGTATAGCAAGCTACTTAAGATGGATTTTCCTTCCTTTGATGGGGACAATCCTAAGCTCTGAATGGTCGCTGCGCTAATTATTTCGATATGTATTCTATCAAGTCTACTATGCACATCAAGGTGTGTTTTCCATGCACCTTGCTGGGGCTGATCCACGTTGGCTTCAGTCTATTGAGGTCCAAGGTTCCGGGCTTATAGTGAGGAGAATTTTGTCAGTTGGTGTTAGATCACTTCGGCAAAGACCATCATTAGCTGCTCCTTCGCCAATTGTTTTACATTCGGCAATCTGGTACTGTGTCGGAGCATGTCGACAAGTTCTCTGGCTTAGTGGACCAGCTCGTGGCCTATGTCCGCCGCAACACCGATCCATTGTTTTACACGGTTTACGGGGATGACATACCTAGTGCTGTTCAGTTGCAGCCTCCTTTTACCTTCGATGTTGCTTGTGTTCTTACCCTATTGCAAGAGGAACTAGTGGATCCGTCCCATCGGCGGGAGCTCGCAAATGGGATTCATTGTCTAGAGCCAAGTTTGTCCCGAAGGAGCCATTACCACTGCCACTTCCTCCTCGACTTGACAAACCGTTGCCCCTGGCTTTGCTGCCTGACGATTGACGCATTCGTGGTATTGATGATAAGCTGGCAGCGCTGCGTGCTTATTGCAGGGTGTGCGGTCTCTGTGTTCGCTGTGTAGAGGAATGGTCTTGCGACCATCTTTGTCCAAAAAATATTCAAGATCAAGGTACTAAATTGCATATAGCGGGTTGATAGCGTATTGGTGTCGAGGTAGCAGATCGCGGATACCGGACGCTATCGTCGACGCTAAGTTCTAGTAGCGGCACATGATCATTACATATAAATTTAAGCATATATATCATGAATAATTGGTATAAATAAACATTTAATTGTTCTAAAAAATGATGTCTCACATAAATTATGACAAAATATGGTATTTCATATATTACATATAAGTCATCATATATCATAGTAGTTTATAAAAAAAATAGATTATGAGAGCCATAAATAATTTGTAAAACCATCATCCGTTAATAGCATTGTTAAAAAATCAACAACATCATCATTCTCATGGTCACTTAAATCATCTGTATATCTTAAGTGTGCTAGAATTATTTATTTGCTGCATATTATATCTTGCTATTGCGCCCACTACGAAGAATTGTGGACTGCTATAGCGGGCCGCTACCTCAAATAGCGGCCACTAAGTTCTAGCTTGCTATATCTAGACCGCTACGTCGTAGCGGTAGCAATATGAGGTCGCACCACTATTGTGGCCGCTATAGCGACCGCTATGACCACTATTTATTGGTACCTAATTCAAATTCATGTTCTTTAGGAAGTTTGGGAACTGTTGGGTTGAGGATGAGGATTGTTCGTTGGTGGATGCTTGCCATCCCGATGAATCTCCTTGGATTGTCGTGATCTCCTCTCTCCCTGGCCTCGTTATCGAGGACGCTGAGATCAGAAGCAGCGGTCATAGCTCGGCGGGGCAGATTCCGGTAGCTTGCTGTCGTGTGCCTGAGGCTGATCGGGAAATCAGTCAGGATGCAGCGCAGCAGTGGTGTTGGATCCATCCTCGGGACCCAGCGTGAATCCAGCAAAAGCTCGCAGACCTTGTCGAGGATGAACTCCTGGCTTGGCAAAGATCTCATGAACGTAGAGGTCCATGTGGTGCGCCGGCCTCCACGGCGTCCTCGAGCCCGGCGAGGAACATGCATATCGCAGGTGGTTGCTCCTCATGCTCGGCGGGCTCTGGTTCCTACAGGTGCATGTTCCCAAGCTGATCGGCGATGAAGTCTAGGATAGCGAAGGTGATCTCAGCGTCTGGCTGCATCTTTTCAAAATCGTCGAAGTGGAAGATGATCCCCATCTGGAACACAAGGAAATCTATGCGCACGTAGCAGCAGAGTTGAGCACGTGGGAGCTCACCGGCTGGGGCGCAGCCTCACCACATCCATCTTCTTTCTCTCGACAGGGCGTGTAGCAGCAGAGTTGGGCACGTGGGAGCTCACCGGCTGGGGCGCAGCAACAAGAGCTCGCCGGCCTAGCGCACGGCTGCCTAGGGCTCGCCGACCTGGCGCGCGGCGACCTGGGTGCAGTAGCCAGGGCTCGCCGGCGGCCTGGCACGCGGCGGCCTTGTTTCCTCGTGCCTGCGCGTCCGTACTCGTGGCCATGGAGGAGGGGAGATCCGGCCTGCAGCAATGGAGCACGCGCCTGCAGCGGACCTCGCTGGCCATGGAGATTCGACGGACATGGAGATTGGCGGCAATGGAGCACGCGCCTCCAGCGGACCTCGTTGGCCGTGGAGATCGGCGGCCATGGAGGAGGGGAGTTCCGGCCCTCCGGTCGGCCATAGAGGAGGTAAGGTCGCGCCGGCAATGGAGAGCAGCGCCGCGAGGTCGACCGAGAGGGGTCGGGGCAGCGCCCGCGCCCGCCGGAGTCGGGGGCAGCGCCGTGCGGTCTCCTACTGGAAAGTCGGCGGAGGAAACCGCCTGGAGAGGAGCTCGCCGGAGGAAGCTCCCGCTCGGGTGGAGGGCGGCGACGGCGTACGAACCCGTCGGCCTCGTGAGATGTTGCGGACGGGGGAATAGAATATAGAAGAAAAAAACGAAACGGTATCTACAGTGACAGATGGGTAATTTTTTTACTCAAAAGCAGCTGAAAGCGGGGGAGCTGCTTTCACTACTTTTTGCCTAAAACAGTTAGGGTGCGTTTAGTTCCAAAAAATTTTGGATTTTGGCTCACTGTAGCATTTCGTTTGTATTTGGTAATTAGTGTCTAATTATGGACTAATTAGGTTCAAAAGTTTCGTCTCGCGATTTCTCGACCAACTGTGTAATTAGTTTTTTTTTTCATCTACATTTAGTACTGCATGCATGTGTCGCAAGATTCGATGTGCTATGCAAAATTTTTTGACAACTGAACGGGGCCTTATTGTTTTTGGATCCGTTGGCTTTTGCAAAAGCAGAAATAGATTCAAAAGCCCAACCAAAGATATAAATATATGTGGGTAGAGCACACTTGCCTTTTGTTCTTTCTTTCACTGGCAATCTATTTCTTCATGATTTTTTCTTTGCATCCATTACGCCTTGATTATTTCTTACTTTATATTTATTTCCATTACGACAGTTTTGGCGTTAGGAGGAAACCAGCCATTTCTACGTAGGTGAGGCCCGCAGCGCTCATCCGCGCCACCACGCTCGCCCGCGACGGCCATGCTCCCCTGCGCTGCCGCGTTCGTCCGAGCCGCCGCGCTCCCTTGTCGGACGCGCTCGCCAGCGACGGCCACGCTCGCCGCGCCGCCGCGCTCCACGCCGGCCATGCTTGCCCGCAACGGCCGTGCTCGCCCGCGCTGCCGCGTTCGTCCGCGCCACCGCGCTCCCTTGCCGGACGCTCTCGCCCGCAACGGTCACGCTCGCCGCGCCAACGCGCTCCGCGCCAGCCACGCTCGCCTGCGCCGCTGCGCTCCACGCCGTCCGCGCTCGCTTGCCGGCCGTGCTCGCCCACGATGGCCAGGTTCGCCCGCCGGCGCCTCGCGTGCGCGCCCCCGCGCCGCGTGCTCTTGTCGGCGCCTCTGCGCTCGCCCGCCGGCGCCGCGGCGGCGCTCGCCTGACCGCGCCTCCGCGTGCCCGACCGCGCCTCTCGCGAGCCGACCGCCCGGCGCTCCCGCCCGCTGGCGCCTCGCGTGCCTGCCCGCGCCTCTGCGCTAGCCCACCGGCGCCGCATGCGCTCGCCCGGTCTGGAGTTGGTAGAGAACGAACGGATGAGAGAGGGGAAGGGATAAGGGAGTGAGAAAAAAATGCCATATTTATTACTGGAAGACACTACCACTGTGTGATATAGTTTCTATTGAGATTTTTGGCTGACGTGGTCATCGCAGAAACCGTGCCTAGTTTTGCCCTCTGGGCCTCTTTCTTTCGCATGCAAACGCTTCGAATCCCACCCAGCATGCAAGCCCAACGTCACCCGTGTTTACTGCAGTATGAATTCCAAAGCATTACTGCCTCGTTCTTGCTACTGATGGCCAACATACCTGCCTAGATGAAAAATGAGCAAACGCCTAAGAGCAAGTATAACAATGCTTACTCAGCCGGCTAAATAGAGCCACGTCAGAAAAATAGAGTGATTTGGCAGAGAGAGAAAAGAAGAAAGCAAACAGCCGGCGCTTGACTCCCAGCCCGGCTGAATCCACCATGCAAGCTTGCTCCCAGCCAGCTGCAGGCTGTAGGATCGGCGCTTGACTCCCCACCATCCTCGTTCCAGCTGCTGTGATACGTCCACGCATACATAAGCATTAAATACTTACAGTCACTGTTGCAGCCAAATTATAATATGAGTTGGCTAATAGGATGGCTATAGCTGACATGGCAGTAGCATACAGCCCGCTACTAGCTAGGTTATTAACCATGCTCTAAGAAAGCTCCCAAGAGGAAGTAATGAATAAGGTATAACCACTTTTGTTCATGTCTCGTGATATAAGACGTGCTCTCTTTAGATGTACATACATCGATGCAGTAATGCTAGTGTTACCAAAGAGAATTAAAGACGTTCCTTAGTTTTTGAACCAGAGGTGGTTATTATGCCTTATATACTGGGACGGGGGAGTATGGTACAAAGACATGACAATAAATATTCATGATGAACATAGTTGTTTAAACTCAAATTATCGTGGTATTTTTTTTCATATTGCAATGCATGGGAATGATCATAATAGTATTATAAATTTAAAATGTAAATTGAACGGTATATCAAATAAATACGATAAAGTATAACGCAAGGTACATGAATCCATTCTTGCTTTTTGTGGCGGCTTTAGATGTACATAGGCCTTAGTTTTTGAAAAGGTGGTTAGTATGCCTTATATAAGGACGGGGGAGTATGGTACAAAGATAAAGATAATATTAATACCGTTGCCGAATTGATGAACATAGTTGTTTTGTTGTGAGAAAATGCAATATCATAATAGTATTATAAATTTAAAATGTAAATTCAACGGTATATCAAATAAATAATGGTTCACGATAAAGTATACACGCAAATGTACATGAAAGTTGTTAAAGTCGAACGATTAGACTTCTCTACCTAATAAACTTGTGAACAACTGGCATGCAACTGCTACTTGTTTTTCTTTGATGAAAGAGCAGAACAGATGATCAAAGAGAGAGAGGATACATGCAAGAAAACCACTAGCACAGTCGCATAGAGAATTAGAGACGGCGATATATGGAACGCGCGCCGCTCCGGGCAACAAGGCCGGCGGTCAATAGCTAGAATTGGGCATTGGACGTGTAGGTGGCGCCGAACCACCAGCCGGCGGGCGCGACGTTGTACGCCGTGACGACGCGGCCGTCGTCGGACCTGAGGCGGAACGAGAGGCCCTGCCCATCGAGGTAGGCGTTGCTCTGCCAGTTGGCGCCCCAGTTGCGGTTCATGGGCATCCATTCCGTGGCGGAGCCCCTGATCCACGCCTGCGCCACGACGCCGCTGCCGCCCACGTTGGCGATGGTGACCAGCTCGAAGTAGCTGTGGCCCTGCACGGTGAACCTGACGGCTCCAGTCCTGCGGCACGGCACGCGGCGGTAGTTGACGGGCACGATCCCGGCGCGGTACACGGCGATGGCCTCCCACGCCGGCTGCGACATGTCGAAGTGGCGGCGCGGCGGGTTGCACCAGCCCCCCGCGTCGCCCGACAGCGCCCAGTTGGGCGGGCACAGGTTGGTGGCCGTCACCGTGATGGAGCGGGCGCCCGGCTTGCACCACCGCGACCGGCGCGCGTCGCACGCGATGGCGAAGCACGCGCCGCACATGGCGCCGTTGTTGAACAGCGCCGTGCTCAGCGCCGTCGTCCGCGTGCCGTACCCGGCGCTGTACAGGTTGCCGTACCCGCACGCGCCGCCTGATGATCATTTTAATTTCGTTAGCATTTTTCGTTAATGCGAAACCTGGCATGCAGCAGCGTAGTGAAGTGATGATGGAGCAGAACAGTTAATTACCCATGGTGCCCGACGCGTCGCTGCCGCCGTAGAACGTGGCGAACGCGGGTGTCCATTGAGCTGCCGCCACTGACCCTCGGAGGAAGAAGAAGGCGCACAGGGCCAGGAGCGCGAGCTTCTTCGCCATGTCGTCGTCAGCCGTCACTGCTTGCACACACTAGCGAGTACTTGCGGATGGATCGAGGCTGTACGACCGAGAGTACTTGTGCTGAGGCAGGGTCACCTAGGAGCTGTATATGTAGTACTGGACTACTGGTATGTGCCCGTTCTTCTTGGTAAGCAAGCGCCAGTCAGGCAATCATCATCAATGGCGTTTGTAAGAACCGCTTGGATTCGGTTGGTTGCTACACCAAGTAGCTAGACCGGTCAGGCGAGTACCGGGCGACGGCCGTGTGGAGGCATCCAGGAACCTATATTTGCATGATCGGGAAAGCGACTGTCCAGCGCGTGGATGGTTTGGCCGCGATTGACTTTTGTGCGCATCCGCATGTTCACGTTAATGATTGGATTACTTGGATAACACTTGCTGCAGGGCGAAATATAAATCTGGGCTACCGCTGAATTTGTGATTCACACGCTCATCAGGCGGTGTGCAACGCCGGCCGGCGGCCATGTGCTTGTCGCTCAACTCTAAATTGGTTACGCGCTTGCACTACGTGTCTTCTAAGGCTCGTGCAGTGATGAAAATGGAATCAGCAACTACGTCATGATCATGTCATGCCGATACTTGTATAATTTTTTTAAAATTTTAACACTTTTTGAAAACTAATTTTAAATCTAACACGGTCGGGTTTTTTTTAAACTAACACTTTTGGCCGCGCCTATTGCCCTGACGCGGCCAAATGCCTGTGCCGTGCCATGCATGGTGGCGCGGCAGAGGTCTGATGTGGTGACGACCAGAATCGCGATCGTTGACGTGGCGGGGCTCTGCCGCGCCACCGATCTTGGCGGCAATCGTTGTCGCCACTTGAGCATAATGGCTGGGCCAAATAAATATCGCGAGCGAGCCAACCCCCCCCAAGACGCACGCCCGCCCGCTCGCGCCGCGCACAAGAACGCCCTCCCGCCGGCATAACGCCCGCTCGTCGGCAGCGCCATTTAACGCCGTGGCGTCAAGGCCGCCCGCTCCTAAGGTACCTCCCTCTCGATTTCATATTATTTTGATTATTATTGTTTTAGGATAATTAGTGATTTAGGATAATTAGTAATATAGGATAGTTAGGGTTTTATAATTGTTATTGATTTATGATAGTTAGTGATTTAGGATAGTTAGGTTAGTGAATTTGTTTGTGATTTACGTAGGTAGTTTTTAAGTTTGAGGTTAGGATTTTGAGTTTAGGGATTGATTACATATTTATTATTTAGTTTATAGTTAGTTATTTAGTTAGGGATTTTGGGTATAGATACTAGTTTACAAATATCGGTACTTTCTAGTGCGTGATACGTCGATTTTGATGACTTCATAAAGTTTTGTCAAATGCTTATATTCATAGTGAAGTTGTTTATGTTACTAGTGCGTGATATGTCTGTTAATTTTACTTTGAATATATACATATGCTTTCATATTGCATAACAAGTAGTTCAAATTTTGCAATGCTACATAATGTTAATTTGAATTTTGTTAATTTGAATACTCTAACGCTTTGTTTATCAATTTGTAACAGGATGGCCCCTTCCATGCAGCACCCGTTGTACCCCATTCTTGAGGTGGAGTACGACGACCAGCACCGAGCACACATCTTGAGTGACAACAACGCAGAGGTGGACTTGCCTACTTTGAGGCCCCGCACACACACCAGGGCGCACCAGTGGGACGAGCGTTATGCGCCGTACATATGGCGTGCCGGCTTCCTCGAGCTTGTCCGTGTTGTCAACCACGGTCTTCCGCCCCTTGACCCAGCACTACTTACTGCAGCTGTAGACAGGTGCGAGTGCATTCTTTGTACGTAAACTTTCTTGTAACAAATTTGAGGTAACTTACAGTCGTTCTATTCTTATAACAGGTGGAGGCCTGAGACCCACACGTTCCACCTACCTTGTGGCGAGATGACCTTGACCATGCAGGACGTGAAGGCTATTTTAGGCCTTTGGTTGGGGGGACTTCCAGTGACAGGGATAGTTGACAACGATCACTGGAGGAAGCTGGTGGCTCAGTTTACTGGCTTTCTCCACCGGACGACGAGGCTTTCAAGAAAAATAAGTGAGTAATTCAAGCCTATTTAATACTTGCATTGTTTTCCTACAGCCATCGGGTCTCATTTTCTTTGGTCAATTTCAGGAAAACTTTCGGTGTTTCATCGTCCTGGATCACGGAGTGTTTGACAACACTTAATACATGTGAAATGCAAGGTGTTTAAAGATAGGTGTTTAAACAAGAAGAAAGAATGCTATCATGTTCATATCGTTAAGCATCAGTATACAAATTAATCTCAACAATCTTAAGCAGCAGTGCCTAGATAGGCTTAAATATCTTGTTAGCATACTAGTATGACGGGAGCAAATTTAAGTATGATATCCGCCTTCTAAGCATCAGACGTTATAATGATATGGTGAAAATAGGTTCTTTCGGTAAACACTTTAGGCGTTTCCATTATAAATGCTCTACCCCCCCCTCTCATCTGCCTCCATAGCTCACTCCATTCTACTGCATCTATCCTAAATTATAAGTCATTCCAATTTTCTTGGAAAGTGAGAGCATCTCAAGTTTGAGTAAATTCATATAATAAAATAATAATATTAATGATACAAATAAGTATTTTTTTGAAAGTAATGATACCAAATAAGTATCACTAGATTCTTTATTAATTATATTTTCATAGTATACCTGTTATAAATCTTTGTAATTCGCTCTATAATTTTGATCAAACTTGAGATGCTTTGACTCTCAAAGAAAGTTGGAATGACTTATATAATTCAGAATGGAGGGAGTATTTCCCATTCCCAACTTTCTCTAAATACTGATCAGAGTTATATACATTTAAGTCCAAAAGCACAAGTCTGATGCACGAGACATGCGCGAAAACATCACTCAAGATGTAAAAAGGATAATGCAATTCCTTCAAACAAAAGGATAATGCAATTTTGATATAGCACAAATCAATATGTGTGTTAATATAGATACGCTAATGCTTAGACCGAGCCAGTTCGGACGCCACGCGCCCCACTCCGCCTCGCTGCTCCCGCTCGCGCCGCTCGCTCCACCCGCGACACTTGTTCCCTCCCGTCACCCACCTCGCTCGTCGCGCGCTACGCCGACGCGGATTCGCCGCCTCCACCGCGCCTCGTGCTCAGAATCGCGCCTTCCACCCGAACTAGCGCCGACCATCGCGGACGCGCGCCCATCCGCTTGCTGCGGCCACTGCCGAGGCTCGTGCCACCGATGAGCTTCGCACTGACGACCTCCATGTCATTTCAGGGCATCGAACTCCATGTCGTCGTTGAGCTATGCGTCGACGAGCTTTTTACAACCGTATGTTTCACGTGTTTCAAATGTATGTTTTATGTGTTTCATCTATATGTTTTATGTATTTCATCTGGATGTTGCAAAAGGTCTGGTGTTGCATATATTGCAATGGATACACACGCATGTTTCAAGTGTATATTCCACATGTTCAGCTATTTCAGACGTATGTTGCAAATGTATGTTCCAAATATTTTAGCTGTTTTCAGACGCATGTTTCATATATTTCATCTGGATGTTGCAATTACTATATAGGTATGTCTCAAGAGTATATTGCATACGTTGCAACGGTCGGACGGATGTTGCAGAGATGAGACTTTAGGACGGGGGAAGGAGCGCAACCGAGACAGAGCACGACGGAGGAATGATCCCGCTCCGGCCGCGCCACGAACGCCGGCGCGTCAAGGCCGCCCGCTCCTAAGGTACCTCCCTCTCAATTTCATATTATTTTGATTATTATTGTTTTAGGATAATTAGGATAATTAGTAATATAGGATAGTTAGGGTTTTATAATTGTTATTGATTTATGATAGTTAGTGATTTAGGATAGTTAGGTTAGTGAATTTGTTTGTAATTTACGTAGGTAGTTTTTAAGTTTGAGGTTAGGATTTTGAGTTTAGGGATTGATTACATATTTATTATTTAGTTTATAGTTAGTTATTTAGTTAGGGATTTTGGGTATAGATGCTAGTTTACAAATATTGGTACTTTCTAGTGCGTGATACGTCGATTTTGATGACTTCACGAAGTTTTGTCAAATGCTTATATTCATAGTGAAGTTGTTTATGTTACTAGTGCGTGATATGTCTGTTAATTTTACTTTGAATATATGCATATGCTTTCATATTGCATAACAAGTAGTTCAAATTTTGCAATGCTACATAATGTTAATTTGAATTTTGTTAATTTAAATACTCTAACGCTTTGTTTATCAATTTGTAACAGGATGACCCATCCCATGCAGCACCCGTTGTACCCCATTCTTGAGGTGGAGTACGACGACCAGCACCGAGCACACATCTTGAGTGACAACGACGCAGAGGTGGACTTGCCTACTTTGAGGCCCCGCACGCACACCAGGGCACACCAGTGGGACGAGCGTTATGCGTCGTACATAGGACGTGCCGGCTTCCTCGAGCTTGTCCGTGTTGTCAACCACGGTCTTCCGCCCCTTGACCCAGCACTACTTACTGCAGCTGTAGACAGGTGCGAGTGCATTCTTTGTACGTAAACTTTCTTGTAACAAATTTGAGGCAAATTACAGTCGTTCTATTCTCATAATAGGTGGAGGCCTGAGACCCACACGTTCCACCTACCTTGTGGCGAGATGACCTTGACCATGCAGGACGTGAAGGCTATTTTAGGCCTTCGATTGGGGGGACTTCCAGTGACAGGGATAGTTGACAACGATCACTGGAGGGAGCTGGTTGCTCAGTTTACCGGCTTTCTTCCACCTGACGACGAGGCTTTCAAGAAAAATAAGTGAGTAATTCAAGCCTGTTTATTACTTGCATTGCTTTCCTACAGTCATCGGGTCTCATTTTCTTTGGTCAATTTCAGGAAAACTTTCGGTGTTTCGTCGTCCTAGATCACGGAGCGCTTTGATTACTTGGACCCACAGGCTGAGGAGGTTCAGATCGATAGGTTCGCTCGAGTGTGGCTCTGGA